AATGTCAAATAAAATAGTTTCACATCCCAGTAAAGCGATTCGCTTACATGAGTATTTTAGATGCCCACAGTCTATGGTTATGTACAATACTTCATATAACATTCCATGCCTTGCCAATTTTTTATATCAGATAATCATCTAGAGACTCATATAATTTTTTTATAAAACTTTAAACTTTTCATTTCAAAATAAATTAAATATTGTTATAATCTGGGTCATTCCACAATCATTGCAAGTGGTGAATGATTCCTGGCTGTCGTATACAAGCGGATCCGAGTTAATTATTTTGCCACCCATTAAGCCATATTACACATATTTTTACGCATAATGTAAAGATTTCGTTATTATACTTTTAATTAATACGAAATTAATTAATGCGAAAGTCTTCTTCTGCTAAGTGACAGATAAAGGAGACACAAATCCTCCCGTGAAGCAAATCCTGATTTAATTAAAGTTTTCTTAAAGTTAATAAGTCTATTGTTTTCATAAACCTACAAATAATAGATATTTTAAAATACAACCAATGTTTATTATTTTATTTAATATTTAAATCGAAGAAGATTTAATGTTTTAAATAAAAATTCAAATTACAAATAAAAACACTAAGTAAACGTCAAATGAGTGGTACAGTACGTATAAAAAAAATCAAAACATCAACAGCACATAAAAAATCAGCTGTTATCTGCGGTGTGCGTTTTTAAAGGAAAATAAAATATGTAGTTATAAAAATAAATTTTGTATATAAAATTATAAATAGATATTGTTTACAAAAATTAAAACAAGAAAATAATAATAATGTAAAAGAAACAAAGTTCAAAGAAATTATAAAAGCAAACAAACAAGGGGTGAGCATTTTGGCGCAAACCAACTAACACCGCATAAATTGGTACAAATCATTAAAGTGCAATTATAAATTTTTTTTATTGCAACTCAAAAGCAGCATTCGTCAGAATGCATTTAATTAAAGTGCACATGCATAGCAGTTTTATATATGCATTGCATTAGGCAGAACTACTAACAAATTGGCCAGGAAGGCGCAAAGTGAATCTGTGCGTTTGGCACACGACTGCTTCGAGTATATAAAATAAAAGTGCACAAAAATGAACAGATTTTTTTATAAATATACATAAAAGTATAAAAATATAAAGTTTTATTAGGTTTAGGGCATTGGTAAATTATTCGATATGTAAAATATATTTAGCAGTAGCTAACCAAACATTAATGTGAACGTGTGAAATATTCGGTGTGTGAATTTAATTGATTTTTATTTAATAGAATTAAAATATAAAATAATAATAAGTATGTATAGTTCTGTATGGTGATGTATAGTGATATTGTTTAAAAATAAAATATTTTCATCAAAGCTTATTAATTAAGTTAACATACAATTTATGATATTACACTAAGAGGAACCGTAAAATAGTTTACCAAAATATATTTATTTTTAATCCAAATATTGTTATTACTACTATCATTTCGTATATTTCCACAGCTCATACATATATCAAAATTATATATGTGTGTAGTTCTCTTCTACATAAATGGGAGAGATCCTTTCTCAAAAGAATGTTGTTCAAAATATTGGAGCAATATGCTTTGTACTTCTTAGACGTTTAAGCTGATCCTACCGGTCTGATGTTCGACCAGTACCCTCCGTTTCGTGGTCTCACAATGATCCATTATTTGCGGTCAAATGGGTTGGGTGTTCTTTTAGTTTTAAGTCCATAAATAAGAAGTGTATTGTCAAAGTTCGAGATCGCCAAAGTTGATACATTTGTTGGGTTAGTTCCCTTCTATTTAAATGGGAGAAATGCGCCTTCCCAAAACGATGAAGTTCACTCAACATATATTTTGGACCTAAGCGTTTAATGTGATCATTCAGGTCTGACGTTTGGACAGTATCTCATCCGAGGTAATAATACGATTGTTTGCGCTAAAATAAGCATCGGTTAAAATAGGAACGCTTCCGCTCCAACTTAACCAAACCTTATATATAAATGACTTATACAGCAGTATCTTGGACTATTCTGCATCAGCTCCATTCCTGCATCAGTCAGCTCAGTCTGCATGCTCACGGTGAAACTTAAGGTCATTCATGACGAATGGCTCTAAACGTATATAGTACATGGAACCAGAACACTTCTATCGTATATATCTCTTTTTTAAAACATTATATATAAATTATGTTCTTATTGCCTGCTCCTAAGTTCTTCTTACATTGTGTGTATTTATAACTATCGATCTTCATTACTATATTTTTGTATTGATTTTGTATGAAAACTGATGAAAATTGCTGCATATTTTTAGAATTTATTACGATAAGTAATAAATATAAATAAGTTTAATATTTATACTAGTATAATAAGTATAAAAGTACAAAAATAATAAATACTAAGTATAAACATTTACTAGGAAAGAAAGTTTCCAAAAATATTCTCGTCAAGTACCTAATCGAAAAGAAGAAACTTTCAGGCAAATTATGATGTATCAATTTTCAGCGATGGCTCAAAAGTGGACTGAGGGGCAGGAACAGTAATTTTCGTGCCATTTATAAACATTAACTATTTCCTTAGGCTATATGATGAAGCCATTGTCACATGAACAGATGTGGTATTACCATTTTTATTTCTAGCCAAACTGCAATTAAAGCTCTTTAATCCTTCATCATAAAATCAAAGCTAGTTAAAGAATATAGAGAGATTGGCGGCTAAATCGACTAGTTAACATCATTCTCATCTGGGCTCCTGGATATTGGATCGATTTGGCTCCCCTTGGTTCCCCACTGAATTTACACCATGATGGCTTTACATGATGAAGCCATGGTTTTTTAGTCTACGGTTGTAGTGCCTTGGCTAATTTGTCACATTAAGAACAGATGTGATGTTACCATTTTTATTTCTAGCCAAACTGAAATTTAACCTCTTCAATAAAATCAGAGCTAGTTTAAGAATGTAGAGGGATTGGCGGCGAAATAGACTTGTTTATATCACTCTCATCTGGGTTCCTAGATATTGGGACGGTTTGATTCTCCTTGGTCCCTGTCTAAGATTACACCCTAGGGGCAACAGCTTATTTTCCCCTGGAGATTATGAATAGAATTACTTACTTCTAATTTCTTCAGCTTGCTAGTAATAAATAGTAGATACATCCCTGGTCATATGAGAAGATCACGTCTTGGGAAGTTATTAAAAGGAATTGCGTGAATACTGCAGGGCTTTCCAATCAATCATAGACACATTGCTACTTTATGCACTCGTAATCGGTCATTTTTATTCCTCCACTTGTTTCAAGTGAGAATTCAAAGCCATATATGTTATGTTGCATATTAAATTCTAAAGATAAGGAAAGATTCTTTAGCTATAAAAAACATAAAAGAGTGTGTACCAAAAATTATCACGAATATAATAGAAATATTTACATAATCATTGCAAATGATAAATTAAGTTTTTTTTGTTTCTTTTAATTTTATTTTGCAGTGCCTGCCAATAACTGCGCTGATACAGCATTCCTCTGATATAGAAAGTGCGATGAGCACTTCCTCTTCGGCCTCTTCGAATGTAAACAAAATTGCTCTAATAATGTCTTCAACTTGAAATGACAAAATAATATTAATTGCCTCAGAAATAACTTAACAAATGTGAACAATAGAAAATAACAGCATTGAGAAATGGTCAAATAAAATACAAATTAGACATTCAACGGGAATTCGTTACGTACAGAGATCGGCACTGGTTGTGCGGGCTATAGAGAAGTGGCAGAAACAATTATAGAAATTTATATATTCTCTAAAAGCCCTAGCCAAGCATACACATAAGTGATTGTAAAATAATAAAAAATAACAACAAAATCGAAGAAAAAAAATATTAACAAGAAGAACGCATGTTGCAATTTCTATTCATCAACGCCGAGTGGTCAACACGCTTGACAGAGCCACACAACCGCACAGCAACGCTAAATTAATTAAACAATAAACAAAATAAATTCTTAACAAATCAGGCAACAACACAAAACCAATACGAAGGGTTCTGTGGTTCTGTGCCAGCAGCAACAGCAACAGCAACAATATTGTCAACGCGTAAATTGTTGTCAATTAGAACAGCTGCAGTTGAGGATTCTTCTCACTCTCGAACGATTGCTCATGACAACTTGACTTGAGAACAAACTGCAGTAGAGCAGTATGGTGCATATGATTCAGTGCAATTATTAACAATATTTTATGCATAACAAATTTGTTGCTTAATTCAAATGAAGTGTGCGAAAACGTTAACAACATTTTCACCAACAGCAATAATAGTCGATCTTGTGTGGACTACACCCCATAAAACATACCAAAGATACAGGAATTCTAAAACAGCTGATAGCAGATGACGAACAAACGCACCGTGGTTATCGTTGTCGCTCTGTTGAGCCTCGTTGCCATATTCATAGGCGCTAATCTCTATTTTATGTACTATCTAAATACAGACGATGTGCCTCTATCAAGTACACGTGCTTTGGAGAATATACTAAGACATAAGATACGTCACCTCAGTCCGGCGTATTTCAACCGTAATCCACGTTTTTTTATGTATAGAAATAAATTGCTTAAGAACTATAAGCCAGCACCATACGAAAATGCTACTGTCTTATGGGATATCGCAAATTGGGTATGTATGAATCATATATATAATATATACATATATATTCTTTCCTCAATATACAAATTAAAACAATTTTATTTCAATGTTTATAGTGGCCACGTGAAAATGAAATTTATCCCTTATATGATTCATCTATGGGTCAGCTATTGCAAACACTACACCTCGAACCGATTACCAAGGTGACAAATTTGGCAAAAGGCACACAACTAAAACTACTCGTAAAATTAGCTAATCAACAGAAGGTTATTTTTAAACCCCAATGGTATGAACGTGGTGAAATCATTGAAGGACCCGTTTATTCTGGTAAAGATCGTCACGCTGCTGAGGTTTATGCTTTTTATTTGGGTGCAGTATTGGATTTTCGTTGGACACCCATTGTTGTGGGACGTGTGATTAATTTGAAAACTGATATCTATAATAACGGTGATAATGAGTTGCAAAATACTATGACAATCACAACATCTGATAATGGTACTGAACATTATTGCCTATTTGGTAAATGTCACTATTGTAATGAGGACGAGACTGTTTGTGGTGATGAGCATAATAATATCGAAGGAGTTTTAATTTTTATTATTCCCGGTTCGTTAAGCAAACGTCGCTCACCCTGGCAACGTACATATAAAGATGATAAAAGAGCACCTTGGGAGGATGATATGAATTATTGCAAGTATGTATTATTTTAGTTAATGAGGTTCTAAATAATCTTAACATCTAAGTTAAAAAAGGTGACTCACAGTTTCTCTTTCCAAAGTACATTTGTAATTTATTAGTTTAGACAAGAGTTTCTTAACTTTTTCTGTCTAAGACCTTTGCCTTCTGAAGGGAAACAGATCAAAATATATTTTTATCGACGAAAGACGAACTGTATCCCTGAACTTTTCCATATACAAAAAAATCCTAAGAGCGAGAATTCCTATTCATCATTGTGCCAAAATTAACGATATCAATTTATTTAAATTGTCATAAATGCCCCATGTAAGGGGTATGCCCCATGTTGAGAAACATCGGTTTATACTATGTATATAATTTTTACTTTATTTATTTGCACAATATAGTAAGATCAAGTAACAATTTATTATTATTTATAATTATTATTTTACTCTAATTTACAAGTTTTTCATAAAGCTTAAAATGTCTTCTATTTCTCCTGCTTTGATATCACAAATCGGTGGAAATACCTGTCATAACCGGTTATAACATTTTAAAATGATGACATATGCAAGATATGTATTAGGTTTTTGGCAATCAAAAACAATTTGGTACGTACAACTGTATTGTTACAATTGGTCTATAGACACACTGGACTTTATGTTTGTTGATAAGTTAACTCTTAACTTTAACTAACTTGATCTCAGTGCATTTCTAAGACTAAATCCGAAACCAAAGCTGTGAGATATTACTACTAAAGTGAAATGTCTTCCATGTACAGCAACAACCATCTTAGCTCAGTTGAGGTACGATTATAGATACGTGCTAAACGGCCTGTGTTCACGCATAAACAACACAATACTCTATGTATACCCCAACTTAAGCTCTATGACCCATGACTTTGTTTATCCTTTCGCTTGCTCTAGCACATATACCAATCTGAGCCCTATCGATCTGTGGCTCCGCTTCATTGAGTTAGCAAAGTTTCTCCACCTCAACTGTATCTAGATTTTATTATTATTATTAATTTCGCATTCTTTATTCTACACAATCTCTTCACACAGTTTTTGTAAGAGGAATGTGTGCTCAACAAAACTCTTGCATATATACAAACCGAATTCGTAACGAAATCGTTTCGGAACTACTTGTGCAATATATGTTTATTGTATTCATAATCTACATTATTAAAATGCAATATATATATTTTAAAAGATTGTTCCAAATTATATGTAAAAACATAAAGTCTTAAATAGATGTAAAGCCTCAACTAAATATTAAAAACTAATTTTACTTTTTTTCAGACCCCTTAAGACTAAAATGGAAACTATACGACTTCTTGATCTTATCGATGTTGCTATATTTGATTATCTGATACAAAATGGCGATCGTCACCACTATGAGACACGAGAAGAACGCGTTGTACTAGTCGATAATGGTAAAGCATTTGGCAACCCTAACAAAGATCACTTAGACATTTTGGCGCCTCTATACCAATGTTGTTTGTAAGTATAATTAATAATTAACATATTTTAATAATTTTTAAAAATAAATTTGATTTTCTTGTTAGATTACGAAAAGAAACTTGGGATCGCTTGCAAGTATTTTCGGGTGGTGTACTAACCGAAATTATTGATCGTCTGTCAAAGAATGATCCCTTATATCCACTTATTACGGATAAGCACAAACAAGGCGTAGAGAGACGACTACTAGTCGTTTATGCTGTGGTAGAGTATTGTATGGATAAGGAAGGTGATAAGATATTTAAAAATTTATAGTTATAGATAAAAAGGTTATAGGAAATAAAAAATTTTATGCAGTCTAAAATATTTTTATGGTTCCAAGATATTCTTTGGACTATATTAAATTATTTTTAAAATGAATTATTTGATGAAAAGTAATTAATTTGCTTAATTATTAATTAGTATTGCACATTTTTACTAAGTCTACGTAATTAGTCAAACTGTGGGCTTTAATCTAATTTTTAAATAAAATAATAAATTTGATTTTTTTTAACGTAAAATTAATTATAATAATCGCACAATATCCGAATACATATCAATTAAATTTTAAGTCTGTTCTTAAATCAAATAGTCATAGTTATGCGATATCGTCAAAGATGACAGTTAAATGTCAATAATTATTCCTTAATTTTTTTTTTTTTCATTATGTATAAGTTTATAAAAAAACTGCTTGCAGTTCTAAATTTTTAACCAAATTTTTATTATATTATTATTTTAAATTTAACTATATTTTAATAAGTCGATATTAAACAGTTCTACATTAATTTGAAAATATTGTTAAAATTATAAAAAATACTATTAACATTGTCGAAAATGTTCAAAAGCAATAAACTGTATTTAGTAATATTAATTTAAATATTTATAAATATCTTTTTGCCTATCAAAACAATTTATCTACATATCAGTGTGGGTTGTGGGTCAATATGCCTAAGTAGAAATAAGAGTTCCTGTATATTTTATTTATACCCAAGTATAAATGTTGAGAGATATATGGATATCTTATATACAATAACGTTCATTTCAAATTTGTTAAAAAATTATTAATATTACATATATATATATATATATACATTATATGTATTTAATATTTAATTTATTTATATATATATGTATTTAACTTTTTTTAATTGTAAAAATTGGTGGAAAGTTTCGTCTTTTAAGTAAAGTAAGATTTTTATAGATAGAATTCCAGTGATAGTCGGATTTCGGTACAGTTTCAGTGTAGTCTTTCCATATAAAATACTACTGCTTTCGTCATATAAATTCATTCGTAATTCTTACTATATAGATATCCAGGGTCTTTAACAAAAGTTAGGTCTCCCTAACCTTCAACTTTCATTCTTGCAGAACTCCATCTATATATTATCTTTCTTTCCTCTGCCTTATCTTGTTATCTTTCTATCCGAATGTGAGTTTTTAGCACACTTATTAAAAAATTAATGTCAGTACTTTAGGATATATAAATTATGTTCTGGAAGTATTATTAAATTAAAACTATTCTGTTCAAAATAAAATGTGCCTTACGAATCGTAAGCAAACACATGCTATATAAGAAATTTAATGATATAATAATATATACATTTGTTCAAACAATTTAAAAGAAATATTTTAAACAACACAAATTAAAGAAATATAAAGTATTTTATTAATGTCTAAATTTTCGATTCAAAATATACATAAACAAGTTAATAATATATACTATGTATAAAACTTATCTAAACTTTGTGTTTATTTAGAAAATGAAATAAAATATAAACTATTTAAATTTGTATTATCAAGAACACTAAAAGAACGTTTGAGGATAAATATATATGCAAAGCAAACATTAGGAACGTGAGACACAATGATCATATTATGTTTATAATATTAAGTTTTTGTATCTCTCAAA